CAAGATGGGCAAGGCAATGATCCTGAGAATCTTCAGAAGATTTTCAAATCTAGCAGTTAATTGGAAGGATTCTCACCCTGACTAACTATATATATTGATACCTGTGAACTAAGCAACTGCACTGAAGATGGTAATATGTAATAGTAGGTTCATGCTTGGAGTGCCTATCATTCTGGTCTTCTGAATACGGGATGCTTGTCATGACATACCAGTTGCTGCTGTGCTGTCTCTTGGGTAGATCATTGTTTAAAAAGGAAGGGGATGGTGAATGAAGGCAGGAGACAAAAAAAGGAATGTTGGGGGACTGTCCTGTTACAGTGCTGTATGTGGTTAGATTTTAAACATATGTGTAAACATGTAATTGTTTATTCCTATTTTTAAAATATATTTTAATTTTGTTTGTCCTATTCTGTAGGGAATTAAAGTTTAACATATCAATACTTGATGAAAAATATCTGTTCCATGTTATGCCTAAGATGTTTGAAATTCAGACAGAGAGTGAGGTCAAGCTCAACAACCTAGGTTGTATGGTAATAACAATAAGTTTGTCTTCTGGATGGTTAACAACCTAAGTTTGCAGACCAAAAATTAGAGAAAAAGGAGGGCTGCAAGGAAAGCCAACATTTTGACTCTGGCCTTCCAAGGTCAATTAAGACTCAGGACATATGAGAACCTGTACTTTAAAATCATGTAAGCCAGTTGTGTCCCAAATTTTCTGATCAAGGAAATTATGAGGCCAAAGTGGAAAGTGATCAATGATGTAGAGTGTGCCTAAGGAGAGTCACATGGAAAGAAAACATTCTCTTAGGCTTTCACAAAGAGCAAATTCATTAAGCAATGGCCGTGACTCATCCACATGGCTGACACTGACAAAGGAGCTACAAACTGAGGTACAGAATCTCAGGATAAATCCTGAGGGGATTTAACTGACCTTATCAGATCCAAAAGCTACAATTCTTGTTTGTGTAGGTCTTGCTTTATGTTGGTCTTAATCATCCAGCAGAAAAGTATAAAAATGAAGCATAAGAAATAAAGCCGTGCTGTTGTGTTGAGCTGTAGGGGACTCAGGTCAACAGCTTCTGACATTGTCAGTCATGCGGAAGACCCAATACTATTATGGACTACTGGACTATTTTTGGAACATTTTGCTGAGTTCACACACCTGTAATATTTAAATGACGGAACTAAACAAAAAAAGGGGATACAGATGAATGACCATTTTGTATCTGTGTATTCAAAATGGTTAGGATAAGATATATAGCTACATTCTCAATTCAATGAATAGAGGGATTTGTTGTAATAGTGTTTGCAAATAGGATATCATGTCTGCATCTTGTACAACAAATTACCACTAGGAAGATAGTATGTGATGTGTTAATTATTGAAACTGCCCAACTAATTTGATTTGAAACTGTCTCATTGCTATTTGTTTCTCAAAAAAATTATGAAAAAAGAAGACAAAAATACGTACTGCTTCTCATTTCATACCAAAAAAAATTAAAAAAATAGAATATGTAATCCAGGGAATTCTCTCTACTTCCTATTTCTCTTCCACTTTGCTTCTCATATAATATATATAATATACCTCCTATGAGAGAAGCCGTGAGACATTTGAGTTTTTTCACAAAACATAAAGTTCTCAGTTTGCATCCATTTACCTATGAATGCCTCACATTTATCTTTCTGGCATAGTACTCCATTGTGTATAAATACCACATTTTCTTTATCCATTCGTATGCTGCTCCTGCGATCTACCTATTATAAACTGTTCCTGTAAAGGTGAGGATGATGTGTCTCTGTAATATAATAATTTTTAACTCTTTTGGGAAGATACCTAGAAGAGTGATATTTGGGTAAGTGGAATTTGTATTTTTAGTTTTTTTAAGAATCTCCACAATGATCTCTCATGAAGCAAAATGCTATTCATTTTACTTAAGATGTATTATCTTTTCTATCTGACTCTGTTTGTCCTTTGTTGATAGTCATTCTGATTAGTATCTGATTAATGTCATAAACATCTCAGTTACATAGTTTCCTGGTTATTGTATGTGGCTTTTCTTGCTTTACCACTGCAGCACAATTTCGTTCCCAAGTTCTTGTGTGAAGCGTCTTCTGCTGTTCTCCTATGTAATTCCAGTTCTTCCTAGGCACACCCTTTGAAGAGGACGCTGGGGCTAGACGAGGGGCACTGTCTTTTGAGCATAAACTCCGGAATACCACGTTCTCCCACTTCCTTCACATCAGAGAACGGTCTTGATCTTACCACTTCTAGCTCGGTCAGACACGAGGAATTCCTGAAACTTTCAGAGTAGGATTATATTTCCCCAGGTTATCCTCAACTTCTTATTCTCAGCCTTGAGCTGAGCAATCTGGGAAAAGCTCTAAGAGCGATGGAGAAATCTGAGACTGCGCCTTTAAGGCAGGAGTCGAGGAGGGGAGCCAGGGTTTCTGCACTGGTTGAGGCCCAGAGCTTCTTCCGGCTGGGCCCAATTAGCAGCAAGCTTAGCAGGGTTTTTGTTTAGCTTAGCAACCGCCCGCGCGTCTGGGGGCGAGGCCGCCGCAATCCGCACTCGGAGCCCGACAGGCGCGGACGCGCGGAGGCGCCCCAGCTGGGCTCCGGGACCCCTCGGACCTGCGCCCTCCCGGCCTCCCGGTAGCTGGACCCGACTGTCCTCGGACAAGCTTTTCCCGACCGTTCGGAGCTGAGCGCCCGAGGTTGCTCACCCGGCTGGGGAGAGAACCAGAGCTCTCGCAGATTCGCGGGGTGCGGGGACTCCGGCACCCCCAAGGTCCCGAGGCGCGGGCCGTCCCGCCAGATCCCGCGGAGCTCCGGCTCTCCCCGCGAGTGCGACCGCATCTCCCGGGCGCGGCATGAAGGTGGCCGCGCTGGACCTCGGGTCCCTCTTTGCCAAAATCTTCAAGAGCTCCACAGCGTCCCCCGCGGCGTCCTCCCAGGTCGGCTCCTCCAGCCGCTGGGGAGGTGCAGGGTCCGTGGGCGCCGTCCTGACCCCGACGCCGACCCTCCTCCCCGCGCTGGCCCCCGACGCCTCCTCCG